TTCTTTCCTCGAAGACGCTTCCTGTCATCCGCGAACGTCCGGCCCCGTGGGGTTTCGAACGGCATGCATGTCAATACTATTCTAAAAGGTTACAGGTTCAACCAGAACGGCCAACTAACTTTTCGTTCCTCGAAGACGCTTCCTGTCATACGCCACCGTGTTGCCTGGTGCGCCTCGCAACTCTTACTTAGAGAAATTGAGCCTGATGCGTAACAACGCTCTACGCCGGAGGCGCTTCCACTCATCCGCCACCATGCCTTGCGCACGTTAAAACGTGGTAGTACGCCAAGGTCTGCCTGGTCGGGCTTCTGTAATCCCACCAGCCCTCTGGACGTGAGTGGTTTAGGACGTTTCCTCTTTTATCGTTCCTCTTTCTTCTCCTCCTGGGAAGACGTTACCCCTTCGCGAGCAGTAAGAGCGTCCAAAATGGCCTCGGCCAGAAAGCCAGCATCATTGACTTTACGAAGGTTGTGGCCACATGTGGGCCTCCTGGGCGGGGGCCCTAATTGAGAAGCCCCCCTCCCGATGAAAAGGCCAACAAGACTGCCCTAAAGTGGCCCTGGGCTCCCACGGGTGCCCCAAGACGAGGCCTAAGAGGTGCCCTCGACGCCCCGAGAAGCCTCCCGCATTCCCCCAAGGAGGCTTCCAAGAGGCCCCCAAGATGCCCCCCAGAGGCACCCAAGATGGCCCAAGAGGCCCCCGCGACTGCCAAGAGACCGCGAAGGCGCCCCAAAAGGCCTCCAAGGAGCTCTCGAAAGAAATCCGACATGTCTCCAAGAAGCATCCAAGAGACCTCTGACCTCATCCGCCTATTCCTCCTCCGTCCTTCCTCCCTCCTCCCAGTTTCCCACTCTCCCTCCTCCTCCTCCTGTTCCTCCTCATCCTGCTCCGATTCATCCTCCGTGCTCCTCCTCTTGGGGTATGATGTCCTACCCAATCCTTTACTTGACTGCATGCTCCTCCACATCCGTGATGAGGCAATGCAACTCGTCTGGGCAGCGTTTCTGGATGGGCTGGTGGGGTTACGCGAAGCGTGTATAGCCTTCTAGAAAGGGACCCCCTCTCTCCCTGCCGCACTTTGCTGCGGCCACCGCCCCCCCTTCCCGAGGCCCGAAACCCTAGCAAAATGCGACAGATCCGCGCTGCCGGAGACCAGGGATGCCTCCAAGACGGCCCGACATCGCTTTAAGACGGGCCACGTTGGCCTCAAGGCGGCCCAGGACCGCTTCAAGAGGCAGTCGAGGCGTCCCAAGGGAGCCCCAAAAGCCTTCCCAAGAGGGCCTCTAAGAGGCAATAATCAGTCATTGTCATCAAGATCGTATGTGTTTCGGGTTCTCGTCTTTTCGAGCTTCCCCGAGACGGCCCAAGAGGGCCCCAAAACGGCCCAATGAGGGCTCCGAAACGGCCCAAGAGGCGCTCCTGAAAGCCCCAGCCCCCTTGCCTTCTCGAGTCGTTGCCGCCCAGAATGTTGCGCTGGCACGGTGGCGAAATGTTTGGAGGCAGATGCATTGCCAACACAATCTCGATCTCAGTGCCGCCTCGACGCCACACCTGGCTCAAATATTCGTTCGCTCACCCTGCGCCGCCAAGTTTCCCCAACGGTATGGGACGTTTCCCCAAGGCCAGCTGTTCATCCCGAGTCGCTTTGACCGTCCTGGAGCCTGGTAATGGCCCGTGGGTCGAAACCTGCGGCACCCCCTCCTGTTTTTGCACAGGGTGACAGGGCCTGTAGCACCCTCTTGCGATGTGGCACTGTGAAACAAGGAGGCCTGGCATGTCCCTTGGACTTTTCCTGCCAGCCGCAGGGCCCGAGAAGGGTGGGGGAGGAGGCACAGGAAATAGGGTGATGGAGGCCTCCCAGATGGGGTCGGAGTAGATGGGGTCGGAGGATCTCGCCGCATCGCCGATACATCGGCGATGCATCGGCGACGTCGGCGTGGATAACATTGGGCCCCAAATCGAGTCGCATCGCCGATGCATCGCCGAAGCATCGGCGATGCGGCGCGATCCTCCGACCCCATTCAATCCGACCCCATCTAGGAGGCCTAGAGGTGAAGGGCGGCGGGAGCAAAAAACGGACCAGCCCAGGGGAGAGCGGGGCGTCGAAGAGCGGAAGGGGGGGAGGAGGAGGAGGAGGAAGAGGAGGAGGAGGAGGAGGAGGAGGAGGAGGGGGAGGAGGAGGAGGAGAAGGAGGAGGAAAGGAGGAGGAGGGCGGTGGCCAGAGAAGGAAAGGGGGAAGCGCCCAGAGGCGGGCGCCAAGCCCACCTCGGCCTGGCTCCTCCGGGACAGCGGCGGCCGCCGCCCCCTCAGCACGCCGGGTGCGAGCGCTGGGCAAGCGAGGAGGCCCGGGCAGGAGGCCGAGGAGGCAAGGGGGGGAGAGGACTACGCGCCGACGGGATCTAGGATCGCGGCGCGACGGGCCTCCTTACGCAGAAGCTTAGGCTTGCGCGGCGCGGGTGAGGGCAGGCACCACCGGGAGAGGGGTGGGGGGTGGGCAGGGGGCAAGCGCGAGGGCGAGGGGACGGGGGCTGTTCCTTCTCCCCCTTCCTCCTGGAGCCTCTGAAGGTTCTGCGGACGGGCCCTTCAGCACAAGGACCAGCCCGATCCTCCTCCTCCTCTTGCTCCTCTTTCTCCTCCTCTTCCTCCCCCTCCTCCTCCCCTCCTCCTCCTCCTCAGTCCGAATATCTCGTCCTCCTCCTCCTTTTCGCCCTCCTCCTCCCTCTCCTCCCTCTCCTCCTCCTCGGGGAGGAGGCTGGGGAGGATGGAGTGGGAGAGGAGGGAGGAGAAGGGGCGCAGGAGAAGGAGAGGACAACTGTGAGAAAAGAGGAATCGAGGGTTAGGGAGGAGGGGAAAGACGGGGGGAGAAGGAGGAGGAGGAGGAGGAGGAGGAGGAGGAGGAAGAGAAATGTCTCGATAACGGGCTCCAACATAATCGGCCTGACTCGACATTAGATGGGACTGGAGAATCTCTGTGCCCGTGAAGCAACTCGCGTCCTCCCCTCGAAAGAGCGCGGTCAGCCTGAGCCCAAGAGATGGCGACAAGGAAAGAGGAGAGGTGTATACTGGAACAATTAAGAATGTATGGTCGTAGCGGCATGGGGTGAGGGGGATGAAGGAGCGGGAGGCGTGGGAAAGGCGAGATGAGAAAGGCAAGGGAGAGAGGGATGGGAGGCCCTCCCAAATTGCTATCTCGTCTATACCCGCACACCTCCTCGTCTTTGTCATCGTCGTCCCCCGCGCCCCCTCCCACTGTTCCTCTGCTCGTTTCGTCCTTCCACCTGCAGGCCCCCTCTTCCGCATGACTGCCCCCCCTCTCCCCACCTGTCTGCACTCATTCGCAACATATCCATCCGCATGTCCCTCTCCCGCGTAACGATTTCTCGTGACGAAAAATCGAACTTGTTCCAATGGGTTCCCTACGAGAGTCTTGGATGGAATCAAGTCGCTGGCCGCGGCGAGCGCCCCAACACCCCGACTCCACAATGCCCCGAAACGTGAAAGGAACAAGCGAATATGTTTGTCACAAAGAGACCTGCGCACACATGCAACGACTGTGCCACCGGATTGCACCAAGCTGGCCTGGAGCCACGCGAAGACCCACCTGCAAAAGGCGAGCCCGCACGCGACACCTTGGCTTGTGCAGTAAAGCGCTGATGAACTCGGGGAGGCGACGAAGGGGAGGAGGCCAAAGAAGGGATGCATCGGGCAGCGTGGCTGCCGAAATCGGCTTTTACGCACACATCGTGCTTCAAATCAGGGCTCGGGCTAAACAGCGTTGCTCGTTTTCGTTTTGATTTCGTTTTCCTTCGTTCTGTCGTCGTTCTGCCGTTGCTGCGAAGCGAAGTCAAAACGAAAACGGTCCACGGAATCGCCAACACACCGTTTAGCTCTGGCCCTGCTTCAAACCTTGGCGGCGGCCAGAAGTGAGAAAGTCGACGCGCGAACGGGTGAACGGAGCACGCCCGGCCCGAACGGAACCCAGTGAAGCACCACGAAAACAAACTTGCGCATCAAAGAGACCCGCGAGAGAGGAGAAAGAGGAGAAGGAGGAGGAAGACGGGAGAGAGGGGGGGAAAAAAGCGGCCCTGCCCAAGCACTCAGAAATTCCCCACGAATGCAGCTCCCCTGGGATCGAATGCGAATCAGAGAAACGATCACGATTGCAGAAGGAGAAGCGGCAGCGGCGGCGGCGGCAGGGAGAGACGAGCGAGGCGGGAGGAAAGGAGACAAGCAAACTCATTACCGTAGCGCCGGCGCGCGTCCCTTGCCGCTCCTGCGCCAAAACAAACAAGGCAATCTACTCGATCCCTCCTTCTCCTCCTCATGTCTCCTTCATCGTCGTCCATCTACTATCCCTGGCTACTCTTCGTCTCCTTCTCCTCCTCCTAGTCTCCTCCTCGCCCCTCACACTCACTCCCAAGCCTTTTGCCTTCCTAGCGATTTCCCCATCCTCATCCTCCTCCGTCTCATTCCCTCCGTCTCTTCAATCCCCCCCCACCTCTTCACTGCTTCTTTTGCCACCTCCTGCTTCTTCTCCTGCTCCTCGTCCGTTCCTCCTGCTCCTTCTCCCGAGCCTTGCTCCTAACACTACATTGTTCCCTCTCCCTCGCCTTCTCCTCCTCTTGACTCATCCCTCCTCCTCTCTTTTTTCTGCCAATATTCATATGTTCTTGCTTTCATCTCTTGACGCTTGCCTCTTCTCCGTCCTGCTGTCCACCTCCTCGCCCTGGTCCTTTGTGGGCTCTGGAAACGGCAGGGCCGTGTTTTCACCGTTTCCAAGAAAATGTCCCTTGAAAATAGTAACGGCAAAAAACGGCGACCGAAACGGCAAAACAACGGCTCCAAGATTGGAGCCGGAGCCGGTCAAACAACGGCGACGGAACCGGGAAAAAAACGGCGTCGGAACCGGCAAAAAAACGGCAAAATGGAACCGGTAAAAAAACGGCCGTCGTTTCCAGGGCCCACTAAGCCCTGGCCCCCTCCCCACGATGTCCTTTTCCTCCTCCTGCCCGGCACCTCGCTGGCCACATCGCGCATCGCCCTCTGGCTCCGAAGAGGAAGCGGCTGGACGGGCCTGCCTACGCGCCGTCCCCGAGGGCGGGGCTCACAGAGAGTAGGTCTGCCTGTACGCCTTGGGGGAGGAGGAGGAGGAAGAGGAGGAGGAAGAGGATGCACCTGTTTATCACAGTGGCCAGTAAAAGTCTCGCGGTGGTGCGGCATTCGGCAGCGACGGCAGGCGAGAAACACCACGCGAGCCCGCTCCAAGGAGGGAGCTAGCTCCTGATGACAAAACACCTGCTCAAGCTTGCGTAACAACATTTTGAGAAATTCTGACTGATGAGGCACGCAGTGGGCTGGCTTTGGGCAACAGAACGACCGCTTGAGCCGGGGCGGATGCGGCCAGAAAGATAGCCATGAGCATTGCACGCTTCGCTGCACTGACTACGCACTGCTATGACCGTTACGTGACGCTGCCACAGGCACCTGTTTATCACAGTGGCCAGTAAAAGTCTCGCGGTGGCGCGGCATTCGGCAGCGACGGCAGGCGAGAAGCACCACGCGAGCCCGCTCCAAGGAGGGAGCTCGCTCCTGATGACAAAACACCTGCCACCAACCGCCATCATTTGCGATGTGGCATTGAGGCGGCTTCTACTTCACAACACTTCTTCTGACAGCGATCTACGCAGAGTGACCACAAAAAGAGGAGACGAGGAGGGTAGGGTTCGGCTACCTGCGTCCACAGCCTGCCTCCAGGCGCTTTGCCCTCGAGGACTTGGTGTTGTTTTCTTGAATAGACGCAGGTGGCTTCATGACGCTGTGCGCTAAGTGGCTGCATGCGATCATTTGGGGCATTCCAACATGCAAGGGAGGTACGCTTTCGCCACGCTGTTCCAAATCTACAATACACAGTGTGTGTGACGCGGGCAGATGCAAGCAATTTCTTCAGCTGGGGCTGTCTCCACAGCCACGGTGTACGAGGATTCTCTACTGTCACAAGTACGTTATGTCTGATACAGGCACGCACAACTCTGACCGTGGCCCTAAGCACAGCATTGCCTGCACGAGCTTTAGCAGCATCCAAGGGAGGGGGGCCCGGCAGCCCAGTTGGAAACTGAAGGGAACGCAGGGGGCCTCCAGGCGAACCTAGCTTGGGCGCGCACCTGAAACAACAACTGCTGCAAGGGGTGCCTAGATGCACGTGCGCTGCCGAGGGGATCAGGCACAGCACCTGACGCATCACTCTCTCGCGCGTCAGATCCTGCGCCGCGGAATCGCGCAGCTCCCAGGTTTGTCCGCGCCAACCCCGACGCAGCAGGGCCTTCGTCAGGCCTTTGGCGCCCGCGAACAACTCCAGGACGAGCGGTTGGTTAACGCCGGCCCCACGACCTGGCGCCGGCTCGCGAAGCGCCCCAACTGTCCCGGGGATAGCGCAACCTCCAGCCGCGCCTCGGCCTCCGCCAGGCGCAACGCCTCCTTGAACATGACATTGAAGGCCGGCTCCGACCACGGAAAGAGGAGCTGCATCGGCGGGAGGCCGCTGACGAGCTTTCCCACCTGTGGCCCCCAGTGCAGCTTTGACGGGCTGTCCAGCAGGATCGAGTCGTTGAACCCCTCGGTCTTGGAGGCCACGCTCTGCTCCTCGTGCTGGGGCACCAGCGACGTGAAGAGGCAATCGCCTCTTTCCTGCTGCTGGGCCGGCGCGACGCGGTGCGTGTGCAGCGACAGCAGCTCGCCTGGGCGGAGGTGGGCGTCGGCCGCCAGCACCACCTTGAGCGCCGCGCGCTGCTGGTTCAAGTGCACCAGCGCCACCGCGATGGCGGCCGCCGCCGCCCAGGGCGCCAGCGCCCGCGTCGCCGGCGGCACCAGCCGCCACCAGCCCCGCGGCGCCCGCGCCACGCGCGGCAGCTTCCCTGGGCGCCCCGCAGGGTGCAGCCGTGGGACGCGATGCCCGACGGCCGCCACTAGCCTGACCCCGCCGTTCGACGGCTCCTCGATGGCAACCAGCATGCCCATGTACTCGACCAGCGCCTCCTCGAAGGCGTCGTCGCTCTCCACCTCGAGCCCGCGGATCCTGCAGAAGTCGCCGAACCGCGCCTGCCCCCCCCCGTTGCCTGCCTCGTCTTGAGGGTGAAGGTCTTCGGCTCGAGCGTGGTCAGCCCACCAGTGCCGATCGAGCGCGCCTTGGCCCGAGCCCTCGCCCCCGCGCAAGGCGGGGGGGGGAGGGGGGGCGGCTCGGCGCGCAGGGGATCGGCGAGACCTCGTCGATGAAAGCCGCCGCCGCACCGTCAAGCACTGCTGGCCCGCTGCCGGACTGTTGGCTCCAGCTGAGGGGGTGCTCTCGGTCCGCCGCGGTGGCGCTGCAGAAGGGGGGGCGGCGCGCGCGCCTGTCGCCCTCGGCGGCGCCCTCTGCAGCTGGACTCCAGGCGCGCGCGCGCCAGCCTTGCCTGAGAGCGTTGGCGCTGCTGTCGGCGTCGGGCGCTTGCCAGGCCCGCTGGTGCCAGCCCTCGCGCCGGGCACTCGAGCACGCCTCAGCGCCCTCTCGTTGACGGGCTCCCAGCGCAGCAGCAGCTGCCTTCTCCGCTGGCGAGTCGAACCATCGGCGAAGCCCATCTGAGGGGCTGAGCTCGCCGGCAACCCATCGCACACTGGTGCGGGAGAAAGTGGCCAAAGACAGCACGGCCCACTTTCTGAGCAGGAAGAGCACGGGCGGGGACACTGCGCGACCTTTCTCCAAGCTCAAGACCATGCCCATGTTATCGCACAAAAAATGATGCTGACGATGGTGAACTTTCTGCGGCACTTCCTCCTCCAACCAAATAGAACTGCTCGCAACTCTTTAAGGTGAATCGCCTCCTTCCTGAAATACCTCCTCGCTTGAATGGTTTTCCAAGTCGCCTCCTCGATGAACCCTTTGGGGGGCTCCGGGAGGTGGGGATCGATGACGACCTGCGCGCCTGCGTCCTCCTGAGACCCCAAGAGCTCCAGCATCCTCCCGACGTCCTCCGAGCAATGTAGAGCTTGAAGCTGTTCAAGATGAGGCCCAAGAAGTCCTGCGGGGTTCTCCGAGGCTCCCTGCCCAGGGCGACCCCCTTCTACTCTGAGAGACGACTGTAGGTCCGGTGCTGGCTCGCGAAGCGGCTGCTGATGTGAAGGGGCAGCATCTTGATCTGACGCTGCGCTCTCGTTCACGCCTCCGAGTGCCAGCTCCCGTGGCCGCCGCGCCTGCTCGACGCGGAACCGCCAGCGCTCGCTCCAGCGGCCCACCTCGCGCACCGCCTGCTGGTCGATCATTGCCTCCTGCACCGCATAGCCCCGGAGCGCGGCGTCCGAGCGCGTCGCGGTGCCTGACGACGGCAAGCCGAACTGCACCGCCAGCAACGGGAGCAGGCCCATGGCGTTGGCGAGCTCCCGCCTGACCAAAGGCCACAGCGGCGCAGGATGGCGGTAGTGCTTGCGCGCGAAGTCGCGCACCGACCTGAGCGCGCTGAGCGCCGGCGCGTTCAGCAGCATGGCGTGGGCGAACTGACCCACCATCTTCTCCACCTCCCTGCCTGCTACTCTGCGGCGCCGCAGCAGCGCCCGCGCGCCCTGCGCCAGGCGCCAGCGCTTCGCCTGCGCCAGCCTGGCCCAAAGCTTGATGCCATCCAGCTCCAGGCCCAGCGCCTCCGCCACGTTCTTGCCCTCCTCGACCTTGTGAAGCGGCAGCCCGACGCTTGCCGCCATGCTGGCGGCCTGCCTGCGCGCCTTCACGGTGGCGCCTGCCTTGTTCGAAGCGAAGATCTCGTTATCTACGTGCGCCGCCCTGGGCACCGGCTCTGCCGTCACGCTGGGGGCCACTTGTCGATGAACCAGCTCACCCTCGATGCCTCCAAGACCTCCTCGCCGAAGTAATTCGCGATGTGCTTGCTGAGTCCACCGCGTCGCCCACGAGAAGCCCATCGGCAGCGCCTTCAGGCATGGGCGCACCCAAGCCCCTCGAGTCGCCTCCTGCTCCTCCGCCGCGCTCGCCCCCAACTCCGACGCTCTCACGGGCCGCGTGCCGGACCACGGGGCCATGTAGTCAGGCGCCCTGAACTGGTAGAAGCAGTCCGCGATAGCCTGGATGGAGAACTCCAGCTTGTCGCCAGGCTCGGCCTCGAGGCCAGCCGCAGCTGCCGTGGGCGCCAAGTGGATGGAGGTCGGCCGCTGCACAGACTGATTGACCGCCCCGGCATCAACGATGAGTCGAAGTCGCCCCGGCTTCTTCTTCAAAAAAATGCACCCACTCCAAATTCTCGACGAAGCGGTAACTCCACCATGTTCCGCCTGAGCAGCTCGTGGACGAAGTTCACGTACTCGCCTCTGTCGCTGCGCGGGGTCTTATCCCAGTAAACCTTGGCCGGCTCTGGGCGAACCTCATCAGCAAGAAGCGGCGACGAATGTTTACCATTGAGCACCTCCTGGTAGTCCAACTCCGGCAGCACATCCAGCAAGCTAACGCAGCCCGCCGACTCAGGCCACGAAACCAGACCACGTTCAAACGGCGCAACCACAGTAGAGCCCTCTGGGCCGTAATCCAAAGTCTCGGTGCCGAGCAACTCCGACAGGGCTGCCGCGGGGCTGGGAACGTCGCTCGGCGGGATGTCGTCAGAGACCGCCTGCCAAATCATGTCCACAGCGGAAAATTGTGCCTCCGAAGGACGAGCCTCCGAGCAAAAGTCGCCTTCCCCGTGCATGTCATTCAGGGCGGCGACGCCATCGTTTACGCGGCGGCCGACAGCAGTTCAACGACCGACTCGCTGGGCAGCTCGACGAGGTAGACACCTCCTGGCTGGAGGCACAGGCGCCGACGGAAGAGGACGAAGATCCCGTGGCACCATGCGCCCCAGCGGCCTGATGGTACCAGCTGGGGGCGGCCAAGCCCCAGCGTCGTCCAGCTTCATAATTTCTTCGGGGGAGCCCGCGCCAACGCGCGCTCCTCCGCTGCCTTCCGCTCCTCCTTCAAGATGGCCGAATCCCGGGCCGCCGACTCCGCAGCCCACTTCAGCAACTCCGGGCTGACGATGGCCCCGCCAGTCCGACGCGTGCGGCCCAGGTAGTAGACTTGCGAGTCCAAGTCCTTCGCCGTCTCCATCTTCTTCTTGATCATGTGCTCGATGAACTGCATGCGCCTCGCCAGCGCTTCCAAACAGGCCAAGTTGGCCGCGCCCGCCTGGTCGTAGGTGCAGGCCGGCTCCAAGATCTCTGGCGACATCTCGTGAGCCGCCACATTATGCTCATCATCATTGAGCTTGTTCTCGTGCTTCCGAGTCGCGTGGCGCTGCGCTGGCCCCCCACCCATCTTCGCAATATCTCCGACGACGTAGAGCGTGGTACGCGGACCTGAGAGCACCCAGTCGTCGAAGTCTCTGAGGCAAGCGCTCTCCGCCACGCTTCGCACGGTCCGAACCCTCCTGCCCACCGAGCCCCGCATGATGCACAGGGCCCTCGCATCCTCCGCCGCCGCCGCCGGAGTCTTGGAGCCGCCGATCGCGCCCCCAGACTCCGCCCGCCCGCCGAAGATGCGCAGCGCCTCCTTCACCTCCTGACCTGGTTCCAAGCGCGCCATGATGGCCGACTCCCCTCGCCTCCCGAGATCGTAGAGGCCGTGGGCCCCCGCGCCGCTGAAGAGCTCCGAAGGCGTGTCCAGGTGGTCCGGCAAGGAGCACACGACGCCTCTCTTCACCGCGGCAGACTCCACGACGCAGCGACGCAGCGCCAGTCGGCACGCTTCACGCGTGCAAGCTCCTCCTCGGGCGCCTCCGCAAGAGGAGGCAGCGGGGGCCGACCCGGCTCCGCCTCTGGCCCCGGCTCGCCCAGCGCCAGGCCCATCTCCTCGCGCAGCTGCGCAGCCATCTCCTGCGCCTCCTCGAACAGAGCTGCCCTCTCGCCCCCCGCAGCGCGGTTGGCGAAGCGATGCGCCGGCTGCCCTCGCGCCGCCCCCAGCCCGGTCGGCGGCCCACCGCGTGGGCCCGCCTGCGTGAAGTCCGCCGCGTGCTCCGTGTCGTAGGTCTCCTCATAGGCGTCCCGATCAGGCGTGGCGATCACGTGCATGGCGCCCGCAACCTGCGCCAGCGCCGGGCGCTCATGCCAGGGTTCCCCCGCCTTGCCGGAGTCGACGAAAATCGCGCCCCCTGGTTGCAAGTCGAACGCCCGCCGCACGACCCACTGTGGCGCCGCGCTCCTGCACGGGCGATGGCACCTCCTGGCGGCTCGCCTCGCCTCGGACGCCCCAGAAGAGCACCCGCAAGGACCGCAGGCGCCCGCGCGCCGTGGCCTGGAGCGCCAGCGCCGACGCCGCCCCGAGCACGAAGCTGACGCCTGCCGCTATCACCAGCGAGCCCAGGGGCACTGGCGCACCCCGCGCGTGCGTCTGCGAGAGGCACGCGTTGGCAGCGGTCGAGATGGCCAGCGCGCACGGCGAGACGATAGAATAAAAGAAATCTGCGGGCGTGGGGGGCGCCGCGGCTTTTGGGGGGCAGGGCTCCCCAGCCGAAATCTACCATTCGCCGCCAACAGAACGACCGCTTGAGCCGGGGCGGATGCGGCCGGAAAGATAATCATGAGCATTGCACGCTTCACTGCACTGACTACGCACTGCCACGACCGTTACGCGACGCTGCCACGGGGGGAGGAGGACGAGGAGGGGGGGGGGGAGGAGGAGGAGGAGGAGGAGGAGGAGGAGGAGGAGGATGAGGAGGGTGAGGAGGAGGAGGAGGAGGAGGGGAGAGGAGGAAGAAGAGAGGAGGAGGACGAGGAGGAGGAGGAGATGGGGGGGACAGCGACTGTTTCAACCCAGCGCAACACTGAACAGCACGCAGCTCGTAATCACTGGTGGCATCATGACTGCGCTCGGCGGCGAGACTGGGGGGGAGTGAAAAGGGGATGCCCCTTTCAAAAGGCTCGGGAGTTCCGCGGCCTTCTGACAACTGTTCGAAACCTTCCCCGAAGGCGCCAAAAAAACACCTCTCCGACGGCTAAAGGCCTTATGCAAATCCCCGCCGCCTCCTGGGAAGACCTTCGCCCTGCCCCCCCCCTCGCTCGCCGCCGATGCGTGCGAGACAGACCAATGCATCCATCGGCACTTGAGCGACTATAGTGATTACAGCCCTGTCTGAAACAAAAAAAGGCACTGATTGCGACTCGATGTCGCGCAACATTGATTGCACTTACACGGTGTAAATGTGTAGTGCGTTGCAAGAAGCTGCTAATTTACATGGAAGCCATGTGCGATACCATGCATGTTGTACTTCAAATGTACATGTGTACATTTGTTGTTCGTGAAAGTTATACAGCTTGGACCTTATGGATACCTTATGTAGGTATACGCGTCAAACTACGTGTTTCTGATGTGCGTTTGTGTTTTGTTTTTCCATGGTTTTCTCTCCTGCCGCTGGCTCGGTTCGCTGTGCGATTTCGGCGGGATACCGATCGGAGGAGGAGAGGGAGGCGGCGGGGGACCGCTCGGGGGAGGGGGGGGGAGGAGGAGGGGGGGGGAAAGAGGGAGAGGGGGACTAACGTCGATGGACGCATATATGGGATCCTGTACTCACTGCGAGGGGTGCGCGCCGCGCTGGCCGGGCTAGAAGTGCTGGCAGTGCGCAGAAGATATGGGGGCCGCGAGCTGCGGCCATCGCATCGCACGCCGATGTTGAAGTCCTTCTTCACCATGTCCATCACCTCGTTGATCTCGGGCTCCGGCGGGTAGCCGAAGGGCGCCCGCGCGGCTGGGTCGATGACGTCGAAGGCCGCCCGCAACTCTGGCGATATACACTTGCTCGGGTCGTGCTCCTTCCAGCGCTGGGCGCCCTTGGTCCACGACGCCTCGTCGTCCTTGAACGTCGCCCCGTCGGACTTCAAGGTCTGGCCGACGTCGATCGCGAAGGGCGCAGCAGTTGGCTGGAATCCCCCGCGCCGCCGTCGACGCCCGCGCCCGGCGACGGGTAGCCATCTGCCGTCGCAGTGACCGCCCCCTTGCCGACGAACGGAGACTTCTCGAGCAACAGGCCCTTGACCTTCAACACCTCCGCAATGATGGCGCCGATCCTGCCGTTGTGGTAGTTGAGGGTCATGAGGTTGGCCTCGCGCTGCTCCTCCGCGCTGCCAGGGGTGCAATCCTTGTGCTTCGTGCAAGCGCTCGCTGGGCAAAGCTTCACCCCGTGCTGTTGCATGTCGCGCAGCACCTCGTTCAGCATCGCGGCCTGGGCGCGGGGCGCGCCCGACAGGCTCTCCAAGGAGATCTTCGCCAGCTATTTCGGCGCGTTCACGCCGCTCGAGCCCGCGGGTGGCGCGTTCATGGCAGCGCGACCATCGTCGGCGCCCTGGCCCGGGGCGTCGCGCCCTCGCTGGGCGATCTCTGGTCACTGAAAGGAATGGCCGCGGCCAGGGCTGACTGCCGCGGCGCGCGATCGCGCCGCCGATCCTTTTCGCGGGCCCCGGGGGCAGAAGATACTGCGAGGCGCGCTGGCCAGAGAGCCCCCCCGACACGGAAATGGCACTCTCGCTCGGAGACCACCCCGCACCCGCGCGCGCGATTTAACGGCGTCGGGAATGGTGCATGGCACTCTCGCTCGGAGGCCTCCTTGCAATTTAATCTCCTCGGTCGGAGACCCCTCCCCCGCCCCCCCGCCCCGCGCCGAGTGCGCGCGCGATTTAACCTCCTCAATGGGGGGGGGGGCGGGGGCGGGGGCGGGGGCGGCGGCGGTGTGGTGGGTGGACGGGATCGGAGGCGGAGGAGATGTTTTGTCGGCGGCGACGGGATGCGGAAACAGCTGAGCTGCCCTAGTGCAGCACCGCGCGCTCGTCTCTTCCATCGAGGTACCAGGCATTTGCCTCGCTCGCCCGGCGGGCGCCGACGGACGCCAGTGACCTCCACGACCGATGCCTGGCGCGCGAGGCGGTCCTGCCACCTATCACTTCCATCAGCCTCAAACTCAGAACGCATTGGTCGGCCTCCAGGGCGCGCCCAGCAACCGTGCCGACGCATGGGCTAGAAACCGACGCGTCGTTGATGTCGAACCCCCCACCATCAAGGCGCGCGCCCCTGGCGATGGCGGCATCGGGGCATCTGGCAGGGACCCTAGGGGGCGAAGGGGGCCGCTCGCGAAGTGCAGCCCACCTGCGGCCAACTGGCTATACTGCTTGATCAACGACGAGCACGATGCCGACCGCCCCCATATCTCCGCGTTCTCGACCGCCCCCGCAACATGTTTCACGCGAGGGCTCAGGCGCTCGACGCCGAACATGTCTATGACGCCTGCGTCGTTCACGACCTGCCCAGGCATGTGAAAACACGTGGGTGTTGGAAGCGCCAGCCTATTGCCATAAGCCCTCTGGCGAGCGTTGCAGTAGGCTGTCAAGGATCCCCGCAACTCCGTCGAGACCTCCACAATTTCGCGCTTCTCACATCTTTTCGTCTCCACGCACGGGTCGAAGAACTTGCGCGAGGCCTCGAAAGATACGCTTCAAAGCAACGCGACCGCCATTCATTAGGTAATTATCGATGCTGTGCCGCATCGCAGGGTACAAGCTCAAGCGCTCGCTCGCCATGCTTATGACCAGCCCGTTTTCCTCGCTGTGGTCCGAAAAAGGCGCCGTGCAACTCCGAGGTTTTCGCGCCCCTGCGCTTAAGGAAAACCCAATCGCATCTTAATGGGCTCCTCCAGTCCTCAATGTCCACCCCGAAAAACTTGCAGGCGCCGTCGAACGCAAAACATCCCCTCGCGAAAATACCGTGCGCCAGCGAATTGTAAACCCCACCTGCCCGGATCACAGCGGGGAAGTCGCTCACCTGAACGAGGGGCTCGTTGAGCAGCACGCGCCACGGTTTGGGATTGAAGCCGACGCCCCGGCGCGAGCTCCTTGAGCTCGGCTCTCGCAATCTCGTTTCTAAACCACTGTGCCTGAGTCCGGGCCAACATATCCATGGCGCCGACCAGCGCGTCCTGATCGGATGGCTCGGATTTGGAGGGGTCGGTGCAAAATATGTTCACGTGGCCCCTGAGCAATGGGACATCCTTCTTGCAGACATTCGAACATAGCAAGCATGGCCAATGCGACGAAGCGCACGCTCGAGCGATGAAAGAGGGTGGGCCGCTCAGCTGGGGCGCCCGAGGCCTAGTCGCGCTGGTGCTGCTGGATGAAGCAGGCGGGGGCGGGCGCCTCGTCCTTCTGCTTATTAGTTGCCTCGGCCGAGGCCACTGCCGCTGCTGCGGCAGGGCAGATCGACGGTCTCTGCGAGGCTGCCGAAGATCTGCTCTTCGCGTTCAATCTGCACTCTGCTGCGCCCATCCTCGATCATCTTCTGCATTTCCTCGCACCGCTCCTTCGCCACCGCGCGCTGCCCCTGTCTCCTTGCGGCCCTTCGTCGCGTTGCGCCTGAGCTGCTTGGCCGTCCGCTCTAGCTTTTTCGCGAACATGTTGAAGCTTTTGTCCCTTTTCGCGGAAGTCCTTGCGGCTCTCCGAAAGCAGGGCGCGCTGGTTCTCGATGATCTCCTGCTGCTCGGCGACCTGACTCGCCGAGCCGCGAGCCGACAGCTCCGCCCCGCAGCCGCGCGCCGCCCTTGGTTTTGCCGCCGCTGTCGGGCTGGCATTGCCCTTGGGCGGCATCGCCTCGCTGCGCGTAGACGCGAATGATGTCGAGATGGCCCGCGGGGGGCCGACGGCGCCTCGAGCGCGAGCAGAGGGGGGTCTCATGATATGTTACCGATATCACTCTCTCCCCTTTCGTTATCACTATCGTCTGCGCTATCGATATTGCTATCGATCCCACTCCGAAACCCACTATCGATCTCGCTGTCGATCTCACAATCGATCTCGCTCTCAATATCACGGCCGGTCTTGCAATCGATCTCAGTATCGGCCCCGCTATCGATGCGCCCCTCGCGGGCCCTCTGCGAGGCCCCGCCTGGCCTCCGCCCTCGCCCGCCCTCCGAGAGGCCAAATGCCATTATATAAGTCAGCGGTGGCGGAATTGCGCGGCGGCGCCGCTGGGTGCGTCGGCGGGGGGGCCGCCGAGATGAGTGCACCCGAAGTTGGGCACTCGCTCGGCATGCGCATTGCCTGCACGTGGGCGGGCCTTTCGCCAAGGCTACTGCGCGCCGGGGCGAGCGCGCCCCGCCTCGAAGTGTTGGGCGAGGCCTGTCAGCAGCAGAGCGCGAACGCGATGCGACGCCGCCGGGCGCG